AGACCATAATGAATAAGCATAGCATTATTACAATGCTTGATTGGACGCCCGCGAAGGCTACAGGAACGTTTGGACAAGCGCAAAGCCGAGAAGGACTTGAATGAAAACTCCAGATACTCCAATCTCTTCTGCAACCCCAACACCTCCCCTCCTCCCTCCCCACACTACCTGTAGCAGATACACCAAATGTTCCACCCCTTCTCCTACCACACACTCACCTCCACCTACCTTTGCCTCTACTCCTCAGACACCAGTCTCTTCTCTCCCCCCCCCTCATAAGAAAATCTTCGTCTCTTAAAACTCCCTGACCAACTCCATGACAGCACTTGACCTGGCGCTCGCACCCTCCCCGCGCCCGACCGCAGGGAATTAATCACCGTAGAAGTGGACAACCATCTCCTCGCTGTCCCGTCATGGAGGGGGAGGGGGACGTGCTCGGGGCCCCCGCGTCGCCACCTACCACCCCCTCATCCCCCCACCCTAGGGAGGGGATTGATCTCACTGAACATAGGGAAATGAACGGTGTGGATTCGCCTGTCGCCCCCGTTGTGGATGACAAGGGATTCCAGATCGTTCAGAATAGGAGGAAGACAGTAAAGACCACGTCGCAACACCACACCAGCAACATGACCGCCGATGATGCAACTGGAGTAAAGACCAAAAAACGTGAACCCATCGCCCCCATTGAAAAGTACATTAGACTGGCCTTTCCGGAGGATATGGCAGCCATAGACAAAATAAAGTGGATGAGGGAGCTCAGCCAGCTGCTGCCCCTCCAAGGGGAAGGTCCATTAGACATGGTGCAGGGGAAATGGATAACCTCTCGCTACGTCTATGTAAGCCGAGAACAACAAAAATACGTGGACCTCATGGTAAAGGGCACCATAGCAGGAATCTCTCTTCAGATCAAGGACGACTATCGACCAAGAAGCAAAAAATACGGGGAATACCTGGTTACCAGGTTTCCGAAAGAGGTCGCCGCAGAAGAAGCACTACATCTTCCGGGTGTTTTTAAAGCTCGGAAAATCTACAAGGACGGCCAACCCCTCAATAGGATTATTATTGTATGGAGCAGAGAACATCCGCCACCCAAAGAGTACCACTTCTTTGGACGATGCACTGAGCCGAGCTCAATTAGACCGTGGAGCTCAGATGCTGTGGTTTGCTACAAGTGCCAGGGTTATGGCCACGTAGCAAAATACTGCAGGGAACAAACAGCCTGTGCTGTTTGTGCGGACGCACACCGGACGAAGGAATGTCCTGCAAGAAAAAATGTAAAAGACAACGACAACAGAGACACCGCTAGCATCGTGAAGAGGTGCGTCAGGTGCGGGGAGCAAGGCGTGGCGGCCTGGCACCGCAACTGCCCCCACAAACCGCCACGCGCACCCCCCCCCTGCTGCCCCGACCGTACCCATCGACCGCGGAGTGGCGATGCCCACCCCAGCCACGACCCACCCAGTGCCGTGTGACGTCACTGACCCACAGGAATTCCTGCAACTGCCAGGGGGATTCCCCGTCCCGGGAAACAGTGCTGTCACAGGAGTGACCAGCGATGAACAAAACAAGAAAGTGATTGAGGAAATAAGTTTCAGGCAAGAACTCGCTGAAATGAAAAAAATGATTATGGAAATAAAAAGTGACCGGGGAGTAGGCAGAGAAAATATGCCTTCAAATGATGTCAGTCATGTTGAAAATAATATTGAAAGTATCAGGCAAGAGCTTGTTGAAATGAGAAAAATGATTATGGAAATAAAAAGTGATCGGGTAGTGGACAAGGAAAAAAATATGCTTAGTAATGATGATAGTGATATTGATAGTGATGTCGAAAATACGATTGAGAGCTCTGATAATGGCATTACGCAAGATACCATCGATAAATCATCTGAAAACGGTGACAACATTAACAGTGAGAACAACATCGATGAAGATATGCAGGAAACGGATGAACTGTGGGACACTACTCAGAAAATTATATCAGGTACGGATTATACGTATAATATAAATATGAGGAAAGCGCGTAGGTTCGGTATAAACAAACAAGATGCAGCACATATATGTAATGCTGTGCAAGGAATTTCCAGACTAAAGAGCCTAATCAAACATAAAGTTGACCAATCAGCCAATCATAGGGTATGATGGGGGACAAGAAAATAATTACGTTTCTCTCATGGAATATACGTGGTGTCAACCGTAGAATTAATGACTTGCTCTATTACATTCATAACAATAATGTTGACGTTATCTGTCTACAAGAGCCCTTCACATCAGCCACAAAAATAAAAACCGCCCATAGAATTAGAGGGTACCACTCCTATACGAACACAGGAATGACAGGCCTCTTGACTTATGTCAGTGACACCATACCGCATAAGCTGGTGCAGAAGTCTGATGACAATAATGTGCAATATCAGCATTTACATATTCGAACAGCCTCTGGGTTTTTCTCTCTGTACAATGTATACGCAAGGTGTAGAAAGTTTCAAACTGATTCACTGCCTAGCTTTCAGAAACACGGCACAATATGCATGGGTGATTTCGATGCTAGACACTATACATTTGGAGACAGTCAATGCAATGAAAACGGCGAAGAGTTCCGAAATTTTGTGAACAATAGATCCATGACCGTATATGATACAGACAGGGAAACTCACGTGGCGGGGGGCAGGCTAGATTATGTAATAGGAAGGGATCTTGTGCATGGAAACGTCAGCAGCATGCTTGCAACAGAGTTAATCAGTAACCACTTTGCAATAGTAACGAGATACGCTGTTGATAATAGTCTATCTGCAAAAACGAATAGGCTCAAAATTTCTATTCCTCCTTACCTTGAGCACCACTTTAAAGCACGTATTTATGACTGGTATAACGACTACACAGTAACGAGTGTTGATAAATTCTCCATGGACATGACAAAAGTGGTCACTGATTACTACAACACCTGGGTCTGTCCAAAGAAAACCTCAAAAAGCAACAATTCACAACGCCTAAAACAACCTAAGTGGGTCAGTGACCCTACACTATTAAGGGAACAAAAGCGAGTTCAGGAGCTTCTTGCTATGTACAAGCAGGACAATACCCGTGACAATCTTATTCAGTTTCTTAAAGCTAACAAAAATCTACGGGAATTAAAAACTCATTTCAGAAAAGAACACTTTGAACAGTTCCTACAAAGCATTAATAACAACACCTCAATGTCTGAGGTCTGGAAAAAAATCAATCGACTCTCAGGCAAACCAACTAACACCCCGCAGTTCCATAGTCCTCTTGCACAAGCAGACATGCTCCTTAGTCAATGGGCTGGAGCGTCCAAATTGAGCTCACTTCCCACAAATATTCAGAATCACCTTAGTCATACTAAAATTGCACGAAAATTTGCCATTGAGATTGGATGTTCTGAGTGAGACCCCTCAGACTTTGCTGAGATTACTGAGTGGGAACTGGACAATGCACTGATCAAAGGAAAAGCGTCTGCACCAGGTGAGGATGGAATTACCTATAGTGTCCTCCGCCTTATAGCTCAGGTACCTGGTAATCCCCTTTTGCACCTGTGCAGGTTAAGTTTGTCACAAGGTATTCTGCCTGGCCTCTGGACGCGCAGTCTAATCATCCCTATACCGAAACCAAACACTGATAAATACCGCCCAATTTCACTAACCTCATGTGTATGCAAAGTTCTAGAAAGGATAATTTTGAACAGACTCAGGTACAGGTTGCAAGGTAAATTATCTCACAGACTGTACGGATTTCTATCAGGACGTAGCACACAACATTGCTTTGCAGAGTACTATTCAAACTCTAATCCAGGGAAGCACACTGTTTTTCTTGACCTTAAGTCAGCTTTTGACATTGCAAACAGAGAAATTATCCTAGAACAATTAGTAAGCTTTGGCATCCGGGGTAAATTATTGAGCTGGATTAGAATGTATCTGTCGAACAGATCTGCAAGTGTCTTGTTCAGGGGTGTGAGAAGTTCCACTTCACAATCTTTTGAACTTGGGACGCCACAGGGAGGAGTTCTCAGTCCTATGTTGTTCAATGTCCTCATGCACAAGCTGGTGGCAGATATTCGACTTGGGGATGGGGAATCCATTATATGCTATGCTGATGACATATGCGTCAAAGCATCATCACAAGAGAGGATGCAAATAATTCTCGACAAACTCACAACTAGGGCTCATGAGTGTGGATTAGTCATATCCGCTGAGAAAACAATGGCTCTCAATCCATGTATCATACCCCTACCCACTTATCGCATAGGTGACCAAGAGCTTGACATGTGTCATAAATATAAATATCTCGGGGTGAACATAAATGATGCAGACCTGATCCTTTCTCTGAAAAAGAGATTCTGGGAGAGACTGAAACCGTTGAAAGTCCTTGTTGGAAGAGAACATGGCATCAATGTTAAGCACGCTAGACTGTTTTACTTGGCTTTTATAAGATCAGTTGTAGACTACCATGCACTGCACTTGTTGCAGTGCAAGGAACCAGAAATAAATAGCTTGGAGGTAGTGCAAAATGAAGCAATGAGGATTATCCTCGGCGCCCCGAGAACAGCAAGAATAGTGAACATGAGATCAGAACTTAACCTACCATCCATCTCTGATAGAATAATGTTCATTTCCACTATATTTGGGGTCAAAGCACTGAGGGAACCCTTGTATCTCTCAGACTTCCAAAAACAATTGCAGCACAAAATCACGCAAGCAGACGTGACTAATCACACACACGCGCGCCCTCTAATACACAAAATTTCCATGAACATTACAAAGCTCAATGTCCCAATTAGTAAAATACCACAGGGTCGATCCATTCCACCATGGAAAGAATCACAATTGATCGTGCACCTTACGTGCCTACCACAAAAAAAACAGTGTACATAACTGCGTGTTAAAACAAATTGCATTAGCAACGGTAAAGGAACACACAGAGTCTATGGGCGATGATGTATACGAGTGTTACGTTGACGGATCCGTACAGTCTGGATACAAAGCTGGTTGTGCTTGTACTGTATACAAAAATGGCTCACTACAACATCAAGTTAATATGAGAGTGCACAATTGGGCCAGCACTACACAAACGGAGCTGGCAGGTATACTCCTTGCAACGGAATTCTTAATGTCTCGGGGCTCTGGAGTAGTTTTGTGTGACTCTCAGAGTGCTCTTCAGACACTAAATTCTTTCAAAGCAGGTGGCGATGAGGAAATTGTAAGTTGCATTAAGCGTAACGTAACTTGTGCAATAGAGCGAAATTTCAACATTCAATTTGTATGGCTACCATCTCATGTCGGCATAAGCAAGCGAAGGAAGCCTGCAGCAAAGACACTGTGAACATAGATCTTGGGATGCCTCTTGCTAGGGTTGCACATATATTGAAAAGTTCTCACAAGGAAGAACTAGTAGATCTGACGAACACTCAAAGGCCTGAAAGCTGTACCATAAGGCACTACGATCAGTATAGGGATAGCAAGCCCTCCTATGGGTGGCACCGAAGTCGAACCAGACAATGTGACGTGGTTATTGCCAGAATACGTTTAGGTTACAGAATGTATTGGCAACTGCACGGTGCAAGAAGTGCAGATGAATCTAAAAGTAGACTGTGTAACGAAGAAAACAAGCGAACGCTTGAACATTATATATCGGAATGTCATGTGATACAGCCTTTCAGACCACCTAACATGAGGTATAGAGAACTATGTGAATATTTAATTTCATCTGATACACTGGAAGATATACTTGCATTATATCCAAAATTTACTATGTAAAGCTGCCGTAAACAAAAACACAGTGTTATGTAAGCACAGTGGCAAGAGCATATTAACGTATTATTTTTTGTATGATATATGACATATTTCTATATTACCATGTACTATTACAGTAGTCACAGACTACTGTACTGTGACAGATATATGTAAAGCTGTAATCATGATTGCCCACGACTGAGCAGATAGCCAGGGTGGTAAATAAACTTACTTAACTTAACTTATTACAGACTCATCTTACACATCCTCCTATACCAATTACCAATGTCTCTAACTGCCGCCACACTCTTTGGGTGATTCTATCATTACCTCCCGAGGCCTATCCCTAAAACGCTTTCTCTCCACAACAGACCTCATTATTCTTAATTCAGATCACTCCACTCACTTTGATATGCGCACGTAATCTCTTTCATGCCTTGACTCTCCCTGTGCTCCCCTTCTCTCCATTTAGATTTCCATTGGTCACTTCTAGACCAGTTTCCCTACAGTGACCACTTTCCAGTCCTCCTTTCTCTTACTTCCTATGTACCACTTCCTAATCCCCACGCCGGTGCTTTGATAGTGCTGATTGGCATACTTTCACTTCACTCTCTACTATTCCTACCCCTCTATCCCTCTTCTCGTCTATTTCTGGTCAAGTCTTCGCACTACTAAATTACATTCTGTAAAACCATCAATTTCATCCTAGTTAGCCCCTTTTCATTTGGAGACGGCTCTCGCCCGCTTACGCATTGGCCACATCCGTCTAAGACACTCCTATCTGATGTCACGTTCTAATTTGCTATGTTCCCTATGTAATGTCTCCTTTCATTTCCACACATTTTGTTGTCCTGTTCACACACTGCTGCAGCCGTACGTACCTCTGCTTTCCCCCACCTATCCTCCTTTCACCGACCTCCCAACCTATCAGACATCCTTACGGAATACCACACTTTGTTTTGACAACCTTTTCTCCTTCCTCAGATGCATACATATCCTTTACTTGATCTAATCTCCCTTGCCTAATCCTACTTTAACTCATCCACTCATTAATTCCTTTATCCATCTTTAACCTTCCCAATATTACTCGCGATTGTTGACGTACAGCAACTAATTACTAACTCACCCACCCTTTACTATACTTCCTATAGTGCTAAATGAACTTAGACGTCTAGCACATTTATTTATGCTTTTACCATTAACCATTAACCTCTTTATACACATACACACCTATACACACACACACGCCTATATATATATACACACACATCTATACATACACACACACACACCTATAAACACACACACACACCTATACACACACACACACAACACACCTACACACACACACACACCTATACACACACACACACCTATACACACACACACACACCTACACACCTACACACACACACACACACCTACACACACACACACACACACTTACACACACATACACACCTACACACACACACACACCTACACACACACACACACCTACACACACACACACACCTACACACACACACACGCGCGCGCGCGCGCACGCACGCACGCACACACACACACACACCAGCATCTTCATAGATTTCAAGAAAGCCTTCGACCTGATGGACCACACCACGGTCATTTCAAAAGCAGCAGCGTCAAGTTTCGACTTCTGCCACTCACGTGCGGAGTACCCCAGGGGACTAGAATGGACCCACTGTGTTTTCTCATCATGATTAACAACGTGCTCCTGGACACCTAGTATCATTGGAAATACGTAGATGACTCGAACATCGCCGCCGCCATCGACAATTCCAGCCCTGACCACTTAGCCACCCAGCGCATCCTCGACAACCTCCTCTCTTGGACCACCGCAAATCACGTCACTATCAACTGCCAGAAGTCGGTCGTGATGCAGCTTGACTTCTCCACCAACACCGCCCCCGTGCCCATCCTCTCGCTGTACAACCATCCGTTCGACGTAATCTGTTCCACCAAGCTGCTCGGCGGCACCATCGACGAAAAGCTCTCCTAGACGCAGCACGTCAGAAACATTGAGGTCTGCCTCGTACAAGTTTCACATAGTGCGTCGCCTCAAGTCCCTTGGTGTTCCACTTTCGGAGCTTCATAATATTTACAGGCTATTCATCCTGCCCAAACTGACCTATGCCTCCCCCAGCTGGTCCCTCTCCCTCACCGCCACCCAGCTGCAACAACTCAGAAAAGGGCAGTCAAGGTTATTCTCGGTCCCGCCTATACCAGCTATGACTGCCCTGGCCCTTCCTCCCTCGCCACTCACTACACCACCCCACTGCAGCAGTTTGGTCTGGAGCTGCCGTGCCATCCACGCCACCGCGACCTGCTACCCCCCGACGCTTTGCCAGACCCTACGCGCCGCCAACAAACTGGTGCCCATCAGTGTCCGCACTGACCGCTACCACCTTCTTTCTTTCTTTCTTTGTTGGATTTCTTGGCTATCGACCAGCGGCATGTGGCCTAGGTTATTAAGCCAATGGATCCTATTTATTCTATCAATCTATATAAGGTCATAAAGTTTTGTCTCCCTTAAAAAGGTAATTACTTTATGTATTACTTTTTCATTATCTGATAATAGATTTGATGTTGTGAATTTTTATTTCTAAAGTAATTTTTAAGATTTTATCTATTGTGGTTGAATTTTTGACAGGTTAAGAGGAAGTGTGTGATTGTGAGATGGATGGTGCAATGGGAATCTTCTTTCAACGTATGGAGTGAGGTGGGTTAGTCTTGTGGCGCTGACTCTCATGCGTGCCAACACCACCTCCTCCCTGAATTCTGTTCTTTCTGTGGGCTGTGGCCCATGGTTCTATTATTGTTTTATGTTGGTTGTGTATGTTTAGGTTGGTCCACTCACTTTGCCACAGTTGTATTTTTGCTTTTATAAGAGACACAAAACACCTGAGATCTGTAAGAACTATGGTAGTGTCTAGATCGCCAGTTGACCCAGCTAATTTGTCACCCTGTTCATTGCCATGGATACCAGAGTGGCCTGGTACCCATATTAGCTGATTTATTTGTTGGCACCATGTAACTTACGAATGATATTACATAGCGGTTCATTTTTAGTGGTTTCTAAGGATTTAATAGCTTTAAGTGAACTTAATGAATCGGAAAAAATAACTATTCTATCGTGGGTCGTCGATAATGTAAGATCAATAGCTCTTTCAATATCAAAAAGTTCAGCAAGAAAGATCAATGTATGATTCGGCAGTCTGAACTTTAGTTCACATGCAGTCGACCATACACCCGCACCTACACACTCATCTAGCCATCGGTATATATATGAAAAAAAGTTTAGATGTTAAATAAGGATCTCTCTGAACCTCTGGCGTACCTCCACCTCCGGCGCCATGGCCTTGGCTTGAAGCCATGGAGTTTCCCATGGCGCTATATTTGACTGAACCAGGGTATCGATGGTAGAGAGATCTATACCGACTTTCTCGACGAGGTCTTGGAGTCTTGTGGCAAAGGGCCTAGTGCTTCCATTGCCATTAGGGTAGCTTGGGTCTCGAGCCACCTTCGCGGCATAGCTCAGTGCTAACTGGCCGCGTCTGAGTCGGAGGGGAGGTACTCCTGATTCCACCTCAAGACGCTCCATCCGAGTGACATTGTCGTAGGCTTTTTCCATATCTAAGAGTTGATCGAGAGTTTGGCGTCCCTTTCGGAAACCGCACTGCTTGTCAACTAGCAAATTACTAGAATTTAAAAAATGCAATAGCCTACTGTTAACAATTCGTTCCATGACCTTGCATAAGCAATTTGTCAAGGCAATTGGGCGGTAGGAGATGGCAAATCTGGGATTACCCCCTCCTTTCAATATGGGAACGATGTGGGCGAAATGCCATGAGTTTGGAATAGTGTGGCTTTTTAAAATTTCATTGTACACTTCTAGCAACTTAATCATGTTACCATGATTAAGATGCTTTATCATCTCATATCGAATCTCATCGGGGCCTGGGGATGTTCCTCTACAGGCTTCTAGGGCTCGGACAAGCTCATTCATTGTAAGATCTTTATTGTAATCAAAGTCATCTCCTGTGGCAAAGGGAATTGGTTGCAGCTCAGCGGCTTCCTTGATGGGCAGGAAAGCGGGATGATAGTTTGCTGAGCTGCTTGTATGAGAGAACTGCCTGGCGAGTGCATTAGCAATGTCCCCAGGTGAATCGATATTATTGCCCTCTTCAATGATGTTATTAATTTTGAAAGATTTTTTTTTTTCTTATTGATTTTATTGACAGTGGACCAAACCTCTGATGTTTTTGTGTTGCTGTTTATTGTAGAGACAAAGCTCCGCCAAAGCATGTCATATTACTCAACGAGCCCTAGCTCTTGCTGGTTTGTAATTACAAAAGTTCTCATTATTGATGTTATTTTTGAAAAGCCTGTAGGCCTTATTGCGTCGGCACAGTGCCCTGCGGCAATCTGGTGTCTACCATGGAACTCTATGCATAACACTATCTGTCAAAGTTTTAGGAATGGATAGCAATGCATGTGCATGTGACAAACTCCAAAGTAGAATCAATATTCACTTCTGTAAAAGGGAGGCTTTGGTGGATATACATGGCGAATCTGCCTCCACCCCTACCCTCACGATCCTTCCGACATAAATGGTAGTTCCTCAGCGAAACGACCTTGTCAGAGACGAGGTGTGTTAAGTGCGTTTCTTGGAGAACTATAACATCGGCAGCATAGGACGAGGCTAATAATTTAAGGTCATTTGCTTTAGATCTAATACTTCGACAGTTCCACTGTATAATGGTCAACGCGAAGATTACGCTTTATGGGGTTTGGTAGTGCCTTGTCCACCAGTTTTAATTTCCTTTTTATGGGAGGGGGGTACCTCCTCTCCCTCGCTTCCCGGGGACCTCTTTCGGGATGGTTTGGAAACAGAAGCCTCTATGTCCTGCACCTCCTGGCAAGGGAGACGACTGACAGATTGCGATCTGCTTCTCTCTCGAGAAACCGATCGTGAGCCAGGCGAAGTCCTCACAGGAGTATCCCGGACGGGAAGGTGCGCTCCGGACTGTGATCCAGTATCAGCCTCCATAGGATGTTTATGCTGGGTTGATGCAGCCGTTTGATCGACAAATTTAGTCAGTTGATAAACTTTAATATTTAATTCTTTAACGGTTTGTTTCAATTCAGCAATTTCTTTATCTTTAGCTGCAAGCTGCTGATTGACAGTACTTGCACTAGGGGTGTTGTTGTTACCATAGGAAGTATCGGGTTTGTGTGTCAAACTTTCCACTTTCCTCTTAGCTTCAGTATAACTAACTTCATGCTTTCTCATATATGCTAATGTCTCAGTCTCCTTCCTGAGGATGCTGCACTCAGAAGATCCTAACTGATGGGGACCTCCACAGTTAGTACATTTGGAAATTTGGCTAGTACATATGGTGGTGCCATGGGCTTTAGCACATTTACGCATACAAATTCATTAGAGTCTTTATCAATACATCTTAATGCAGTGTGTCCAATTTTTTGGCATCTATTACAATGCATTGACTTTTGGACATAAGATCTTACTTGAACACAGTCCAGTTTTCGTTCGCATATTCCCATCCTTCTTGGTCACACAATGAACGTCCACTACGTATTGGTCTTTCATGCTCTCGAGAATGTCACTTTCTTCCATCGTCCTCAAATCCCTGTGAAAGATTACTCCCTTACAGGTATTTGTGCTAATAGGAATAGTTACTTTAACTCGAAGATCATGAATTTGCGTCAGCCTAAGTAAATCCTTAATCTAGGAGTTATATTGTACTTTAACAAGGAGGCTTCCATCTCGCAATTTTTTGACAAAATCAAAATCGCCGTCCACTTGACCATCAAAAACCTTTTTGATGATAAAGTGGTTCACATTCAAAAGCGGTTGATTTTCATTCACGCATTTTACATTCGCGAAGCTCGCATTCTCAGTGGGGATTTTGAAAAGTGGTCGTCTTGTTTTGTCATTAGTAGGGTTTCCAATGTTCGTAGTCAAATTGGTCATAGAAAGAGGAGAAGGCGTAGCCGGGGTATCCGGGGTTCTGAAGGGATAAAAAAAACTCTTAACTTTTGTTATCAACCTAACAGCAATAGCTAAGAGAGTAAGGCAGTTTTCCGTCCTCTACCCCCCTGTGGAAGCCTGGTTGCATTCTCCAGTGCCACAGAGGGATCGAGTTATGTGTGGGACACTTCCTTACCGCCGAACTTGCCTAGGCGAAGGACGGTAGTTCAATGCCCATCCCCCAAGCGAATACGGGAGTTCACGAGGAACTCCGGCAGGCTCAGGAAAGTCACATTATAAGGAAAAATTCAGAATAAAAAAAAATGCGCCCAAAAGACGCCCCAGACTACAGGGCCTCCCTACCCAAGGGTCAAAGCCACAAGGGCTACCCTAGTGTATAAAACAGCTGCGGGTCTGAGGTGGGGTGCTGACTACTGCCTACTGCCTCGTGCCACCTGCAAAAGAAAGAGCACTGAAGGTGCTGGTAAAGTGCGCAAGGATCTGTAACTACAGGTTTTACTTTATTTCGGTTACTTTATTTAACTCAGAAACAGCAATAGCGAGACGAGAGGCCCCGGGCTCCAGGATAGCTCTTGTGGCACAAGACTTATTAGTTTGTTGCTGCTGCGTTTTAACAAGGTGTTGCCTCACCAAGAGTTCATACACGAGTGACCAAAACCGCGCTACCACCGGAGCAGAATACCCACTCTAGTGCGACTCATCAACGAGCACTAGTCAAC